CACTACGGAAGTAGGATTGCCCAACCTTCCTTCCGAGGAGTGGCTGGTGGGTTTGAACCACCAGCCTTCTGGTTAGCAGTCAAGTGCCTTAGGCCCTATGCCATTCCATATTAGAGATAGTAATTAGTGAGTGGGCCCTGGATTTGTGGTTCCTTTTCAAAAACTTTAGTTACCAGGAGATTGCACATAGTTACAGGGAACCAGTATATGCTCTTTATCATGTGATACTGCCTTTTTACTTCACCAATCATTCATTCCTCCAAGAAATATTTCCTGAACATCTACTGTCATGCTAGATTTATGAAAATGCCTTGTTCTATAATTAAATAGGAGAAAGAGGAATGAAATTAACAAAAAACTTTTTGTGGTTAAATAATATGTTATAGGGTGATCTGTGTCTGCTACAACAGTTTTCCATATTAAGGGTTAATTTATGTAGAAGTGCTGAATCATCAAAGATACTACAGAAGCCAACTAGACACAGCAGTCTGTATTCAGCCTTTTTTTCCCTTAAGAACTTTTCCTTTACTTTCAATTTTCCTTTTTCTAGATTTCTTCTCACTCAGTTTTTGGTTGACCTTTTTCTGGCCTAACCATTTACACAGGTTTTAATGTTTCTTACTGGTAATTTTCAGATGAAATCTGCCACATTCATCTGTCAGTTGCAAACATACATGATTTAGGCTCCTTAAAACAAATGCAACTCACGTAATGGTTGTGAATTTTATTTTCAATGTTTTTTATAATTTTAAGATAGCATTTCCCATGTGTATTGTGGCCATGTATACAATGTTAGTACATGGTAAAACAAAATAAATTTGAGATTGTGTGCAGTTTAAAATAATGAGTTAGATTGTTATTCAATATTTATTTTAAAATTGTGTTATTCATATTCAATTTAAGATGCTTGCTACACATTTCTCATAATAGACTAATACTACTTCAGTAGACTTTAGATTTTTTAAATATCTCCCAAGATTAAGAAATTTGTGTGCTTCTGTGCATTATTGGCATTTGTAGAAAAAGATTAGTGGATACTTATTTTTAAAGGTTTGGACAATTGGTACCATTATAAACAAGTTTGAGTAATATAAAGTGGACCTTTAAGGCTTTAGTAATGTATACTTAGGATGTTTGACATTTAAGAGAACTGGAGACAGTAAGTGGTAGAGATTGTTTGAACATGTCATTGCCACCACATTCTGCTTGTGTTATGCCTTAATAAATGAGGGCAGGTGTCTACAGCCATTGTCCTCATTCATATTGTCATATGCATTCTTTTCATATGATTTTCAAATATAAAATACACATCCTTATTTTCATTATGATGTGTTCTCAGCTTTTCAGCAGGAACTTGATGCAAGGCATGACAAGTATGAAAGACTTGTAAAACTTAGTCGGGATATAACTGTTGAAAGTAAAAGGACAATTTTCCTCCTCCATAGGATTACAAGGTGAGTAATTATCTTCAAAATTTGTTATAAGTTGATAGTTTATAATTTATTTTTCATGCTTTATACCTCAAAGGTATAAATATTCTAACTGCTTTTTAGACTATTGTGTGACTCATTTTGTGAACACTGAGATCAGAGGAAGTTAGTAGAAGGTATATTTTAAGAATAAACATTTTCATGAAAATAGAGGAAAAATTCTTACTTTAAAAACAGCTAGGGTTTTTGTGTTTGTAAAACTTACTCTTTAAGATAAACCCATTGTTCATTAAATGATTTTTTCCAATGACTTATTAGAGCCTCTTACATTAAAGCTTTACTTGGATGAGAGATGTTAACATTTTAATATTTGCTAAACGCTACAATCTGCTTAACCTACTTTCACATTCATTTTTTAGTTCATTGCATTATGGCTTTCTGCCTCACAAAAAAACGATAAAAAAACCCAAGCTCACTGCCGTTGAGTCAGATCCAACTCTTTGCGACCCCTCCTTGGGTTTCTGAGGCAGTATCTCTAAGGAAGTAGATTGCCCAGTCATCCTTCCGAGAAGTAGCTTCTGCCTCACAGCTATTGAAATTGCTCTCTTTACCATTATGTCCATTATGTTGTTCAGTCTAGTACATTTCTACAACATCAGATAGCTACTACCAATAAGCAGATTTCATGTTTTATATACTGTTTTTTATCATAATTGTGATCATATTACACATACAGTTTTGATTAATAAACTGAGAATGTGGGAAAGATCAGAAAAATCATAAACTACAGAAAAGCAAAAATACTTTATGTAGATCAGCCAATATGGTGTACAAAGATAACTATTGTTGATTAGCAGATTTCATATTTTAGCTACAAATCCATTTTCTTTAATAAATATTGACATTCTCCAGCAAGCTTTAGTGATTTATCTTTCAAGGAATTTGTCCATTTCATCCAAGTTTTTTAATTTATTGGCGTAAAGTTGTTCATAATATTCCTTTATTAAACTTTGTGATGTCTATAGGATCTGTGATGATGTCTCCTCTCTTAATTCCTGTTATTGGAATTTCTTTTTTCTTGATCCCACTGGCTGGAGGTTTATCATTTTTACCAATCTTTATGAACTAGCTTCTGATTTCATTGGTATTCTATTTATTTATTTAGTTAGTTAGTTTTCTATTCCATTCTGTTTTGTTATTTTTTTCTTCTGCTTACTTTGAGTTTATTTGTTCCTCTTTTTCTAGCTTCATTAGGAGGAAGGTAATATTAAAGAATATGAGCATTTAGTGCTATAAATTTCCTGTCAAGTCTCTAAGTATTGCTTTAGCTGCAACCCACAAATTTTTATGTATTCTTTTTTTCATTTTTATTCAGTTCAAAATACTATGTAATTTTTATTTGATATTATTTTTGCCCCATGGATTATTTAAAAGTGTTACTTTGTTTCCAAATATTTTGGAATTTTTTTTCCCAGACACTTTAAATCATCTCTAATTTAATTCCATTGTCATCAGAGAATATATTTTTTATGACTGAATACGTACAACTTCATGCAGACTTATGTTTTGGTCCAGAATATGCTATTTGTGTCCACTTGAATATATATTCTGCTGTTGTTGGGTGGAGTATACTACAAACATCAAGTTGTAAATCAAGTTAAATCAAGTTGGTTGGCAAAAACAAACAAACTCACTGCCCTCGAGTTGGTTCTGACTCATAGCAACCCCTCCTTGGGTTTCCAGGGTGGTATCTCTATGGCAAAATTGCTCAGTCTTCCTTCTGAGGAGTGGCTGGTGAGTTTGAACCGCCAGCCTTCTTGTGTTAGCAGTCAAATGCTTTAGGAACCATGCCACCAGAGCTCCCCCTGGCAATGTTGTTAAAGTCTACTATATCCTTGCTGATTTCTGGTGTACTTATTTAATCAGTTATTGAGAGAAAGGTATTGAAATTTCTAGCTTTAATTGTGGATTTGTCTATTTATCTTTGCAGTTTTATAGGTTTTTGTGTCATATATTTTTGAAGCTCTTTTATTTGATGTACCAGTGTTTAGGATTATTGTGTCCTCTTGATGAATTGACCTTTTATCATTATGATGATATCCTTGGAAATATTTTTTCCTCTGGAGGTTTATCATTTTTATCTGTCTTCATGAACCAACTTCTGATTTCATTGATAACCAAGGTATTTTTTTTTTTTTTTTTATTACTGTTAGCAGGGAAAATTCTTTACACACCAACTGAAATAACAACCCCAAGCATAAGAATCAGCACAAAGCTGATTCCTGTGAGGCTGATTCTTACACCCCTGTTCTCTTTTATCATTTCTGACACTGGCCATTTTCCCATGGCACTCTTTCTCTACTGAGTGTGATAAATCATTGGAATGGTCACAGAGAACTCATGGAAACAATACAACTGCAATAGAAACTTTAATGTTAGAGAAGGATAGAAACAGAAATGAAGATATGCAGAGGATGAGGCTCATTGGGGTTCCAGCATGGGGTCTCATTGTCTAAAAGGAAACCTGCTTACCCTTCTTCAAAATGTTATAAATCTGGTTCATTCTCACCCATCAGGAAAATTTCAAACAGAAAACTCAATGCTGTCACTTGGTGGGCTTGGCTGTTGGTCACTCCTCTCAGCTTTTGCCTGGGGTTAGATCTTTTAAACTTTGTTGCCACTGTTTTTGTTTGCTTATTGTCTCTGCTTCTACTGGAACCATCACAGCCACTGCCTCTGTCATCATCTCAGGTTTACTCAGTCTGGTAGGTCATAGTGCAGGGCCAAAGGACATGCTTCTCTCCTCATTCTCAAAGATTGTTGTGTTGTTATTATGTGCCATTGAGTCGGACCCGACTCATAGCGACCCCTCCTTGGGTTGCCGAGGCAGTATCACTACGGAAGTAGATTGCCCAACCTTCTGAGGAGTGGCTGGTGGGTTTGAACTTCCAGCCTTCTGGTTAGCAGTCAAGTACCTTAGGCACTATGCTATTTGAGCCTCTTTGTTGTAGACTTTTTATCAGTCACCAGGTAGACCCCCAGCCAATTTGAGTAATGATCAGTTTCTGGGTTAGGGGGCCCCTCAGTCAGTCCTGGTGAAAGTTAGTGACCTGGCGGGGCTTTGAAACCAGTACCAAAAAGATAAATTCCTTTTTTTAGTAAGCTGATTCCACACAGCATATAGGGTATATCTTTTTCCATCATTTAAATTTATTCGTGATTAGTTCTAAAGTAGATTTCTTGTCTTTCTTGCTTTTATTTCCTGCCTGCTAATCTGCCTTTTAATGAGAATGTTTAGATCATTTACATTTAATGAGATTACTGATGTGGTTGGATTAGCTCTGCTAACCATTTTCTTCTTGTTTTGCTTTATTTTGGATTAAGTATTTTTTTTTTTAAGATTCCTTTTTATTACTAGTTATGCCTTTTTGTTTTATTTTTGTAGGGATTATTTCACAATTTAAGTATATATCTTACACAGTTGATGATCAATTAATGGTACAGATAGTTCTCAATTTGCACAATTCTGTGTTAATGAAACTCCTTTGGTTCTGTGGTAACAGTTACTTCACAAATCAAAGTCACAATTTCAATATGTACAATTTTCAGTTAACACAATACCTTGCAAAGTGAGGACTGGTTCCATATAATTTTCTATATAGTATCAGAACCTTATAATAGTAAACTTTCCTTTCCATTTTCCCTCTACCAGTCAGACTTTTTTGCTACTGTTGTAATGTTGTTGTTTTTTGCCGTTGAGTCACATCTGACTCATAGCGACCCCTCCTTGGGTTTCCGAGGCAGTATCACTGCGGAAGCAGATTGCCCAACCTTCCTTCTAAGTGGCTGGTGGGTTTGAACTGCCAGCCTTCTGGTTATCAGTCAGGTGCCTTAGGCACTATGCTACCGGAGCTCCCAAAGTTATAATAGTAGCACATAATAAGCATACTACTACTCCATTTGTTATAAATCTGGTACATTATTATTTTTGTTTTAAACAGTATGATTTAAAACATAAGAAAAAAAATTGTATTTAGCCACTTAATTTTTCCACTGTTTTTCATTGTCTTTTGTAGATCCAGATTTCCATCTGGTACCATTTTCCTTTTGCTTAAAGAACTTCTTTTAAAACTTTTTATAGCTTCAGTATGCTCGTGGTGAATCAACTATTTCTGGCTCTGTGTGAGCTGTAGGCATTGTACTGCCTGGTAACTTTGGGTAGTTCTTTTTCTATGCTTGGATTGTTTCCCGACATGACTATACTGGTAAGGACTCAGCTGAAGATTTGAGTGAGAGAGAACCTCTGCAGCTCTCTGGAACTCTTTCTGTTTGCAGTTTTTTCTTCTTGTTACTCTGCCCAGTGAATTTTAGCCATCTGGACCACCTTAAAATCTCAACTACTTCTCTACCCAAGGAGACTCCAGGACTCTAGTTAGGTGCCCCTTTCCGTGCTGCCTCTTGGAAACTTTTCTCCAGGCAGTAAGATGGGTAATTGTAGGGCTCATGTAGTTATTTCTCTTCTCGGGAATCAATCCTCCATGCTGCCTGTTGTCAGATTTCTCAAAACCATTGTTTCTTTGTTTTTTTCAAAGTAATTTTGTTATTGTTGAACATATACACAGCAAAACACACACCAATTCAGCTGCTTTTTACATATACAATTCAGTGACATTGATTACATTCTTCAAGTTGTACAACCATTCTCATGCTACTTTCCTGAGTTGTTCCTCCCCCATTAACAAACTCACTGCTCCCTCATGTTCCTAGCTAATCTTTCAAGTTGCTGTGTCAGTATGATCTCATATAGACAGTTCTTAAAAGATCATAATGCTTGAGGCAGGCATTTTTTTTTTTTTTTTTTTTTTGTGATTGGGGTGAAAGTTTACAGAGCAAATTTATCTTCCATACAACATTTCACATATGCTTTGTCTCATGCCATTGTCTGTAATCTCCCACAATGCAACAGCTTTTCTCCCACTTTCTTCCTATAACCACCTCATCCCTGTGTCCTTCCTCCCATCCAT